CGCTTGTCCCGGTGAACACTTATGTGATTTAACAATGAACTCTGATCATGGTAACACTGTCCACATTCCTTACATATGAATGGCTTTGAACTAGTTGTGTCTGTATTACATGTAATTTGTCTGTGTTCTTGAGATTTCTCTTTAAAACCACTGTTACGGGGAAAAAATTTAGGTTCCTCAATAGAACACGAGTCTGATGGCAAAGTTTCTCTAATTAATCCCAACTTTTGAGTCTTGCTAATAGCCTGTTTTGCAGGTTTAGCAAACAGGTGTTTGACTGCCTCAGCAGCTCCATTAAAATACTTGGTACGCTTTACAATGGGTGACTGTAATTTGGATGGTTTCCTTGGGGAGCGTGTCTTCTTAACATTACTGCATTCTATCTGGCTTCCTTCCCCCAGGTGATCCTTTTTTGATTCAAAATTCAACTCAGGGTAGATGTCCTCTGAAGGATCAACTTTTAACACCAGTTTTTCTTTACGTTTTCTTCTTTTATGGCCGAACGGTGAAGGAGCTCTTCTTTTATGGTTGATGGGTGAAGGAACAGGGGACATTTTCCCCTCCATTTCGAGACCATTATCATCATCCCACAGGAACTTCATAAATTCTCTTTGGGGATTCCAGTTAAGGTCATTTCCATCATCATAATGATCTAATGAGCTTTCTGGAGATTCTGTATCAAAGCCCCATATGCCCCTATGCTCCACATCCTCTGCAGTCAACGTTTGCCTGATTGTTATTTCCCCCTCTTTTCTGAGTGGATCAGCTCCTTCAAAGTGGACATTGGTTGTGACTGAATTCTGAGCATGTAATGATTTGGGAAGGAATCCTGGTACATTTTTTGAAATATCGAGCAAGATTTCATCTGAGATATGGGGTGAGGTGGATCCATTGACGTAAGCAGCCTTGGCTGGTCCATCTGAGCAGATGGTGTCCATAAAACCAACAGTGGTCAGGAGGTCTCCTTGGTCACTGAGTAGTGCCATGGTCTCTTGAGGATAATGCACTGATGGTCCTAATGTAGTTCCCTCTGCACAGAATGTCTCGCTGTTCAAAAGGTCCTGAGAGTTTCTTGACATTGAGGTGTCATTTACCTCTACTTTGGCACTCTCCTCCAAACCAGACATTCCTAGGTATCCTAAGGTCCGTTTCTGGGGAGAAAAAATGAAATGAGCATGCATATCAA